TCAAACAATACTGCCCATAAGAACTCAGAACTCAGGTTTGTAAGCCCCATTAAGGATAACTATAATAATAACATTATCATGCAAGAAGTGTTGATAATAACCATTGTCTGAATCCTTTAATGAAAAGAAAAAAAGGGGATTCTGCCTTAACTAAAAAACCCGTAACTTTATCTGTGACCCCTCACACCCCAGCATGTACTGTCCTCCCTGCTGCTCTCTGGGAAGAGACTTTGAAGCATTGGATGCAGGTCCAGCAGATTCCTCAGCAGTTTCTTCCCCACTGCCATTAGATTGCTGAATGTGTTGTAAAATGGGTTATTTTATTGTATTTCATTATATTTTATTATTTATTAAAAAAGAAAAAAACTGAAATGTTGGAGCTGTAAATATACAGTGATGTTTATGTTACTGTTTTTATGTTGTTTTTTTTTACTGTTTTCAAGGCTGCACTTTAACAAAAAAAGAAATTGTCTGGGAGCTGTTCTCAATGAAATTTCTATTTGTTTACATTCATGCACACAAAATCTATCTAAGTCTAACTAAAAACCCTGCAGTGATGAATAGCTTTTTTACAAGAGACAAATTGTTTTTAAAACTTATCAATGCTGAAGTGCTTTTTGCTTGCCTGCACTAGTAATATTGACAACTGATGCTTTTAATGAGCTCTGAGATTAGAACACCTCCTTGCCTTCATCCTGATCTTTCTGTCTACATATGAAATAACATATTCAAGAAATAAGCTTCAGCCCCTTTGTAGTCCTGAAGAGCTTTGGGCTAAAAGACACTTTTGGTAAAATTTTTAAGAGTAATCTATTGATTGTTTTTTTTTTTCTATAATCTTGATAACTAACTAACCAAACAAATCAACACTGCCATAAAACATTACCTACTTTCTGTTATTCCTTCTTGTTTTTATTTCTTCTTTCAGGTGAAAAAAGGAGAAACATCCGGAATTAAATAGTCTATGGGAATTGAAAGAACGGGGACAAATATGTCAGAAGTATTGAAAGGAAGTGATATAAGGTGTCACTTTCCTCAAGGACAAAAAGCAATGAGTCATCCTGGAGAATGTTGGCTGTTAAATAATAATACATCACTGTTGTAAAAGCAGAAACTGTCTTTAAGCTCATATTTGATCGCCCATGTCTTAGGTAAAGCCTTGTTAATGTGGTGTTTTTTATGCTTCTGTTATTTGTACTTATTCTATCTGTATGATTAAACATTGGTATAGTGCTTTTCATAACAATTTTGAAATCCAATATTCAAATATTACTTTGAATATTGGATATCATATCTATAGACAACCACAGAGGTGATGTCTTTGGCACTTAACTGGTTTGGTCACATATTAAAGTATGTTCTAAGAGCCACAAAACAATTTGTGTAGAAGGGTTGGTACCAATTTTAGATGTGTTAAAAAGTAGACTGAAGCTGGACCTGGGCTGAGTTCTACCACCTGACCAGGCCTGTAACGGCCTAACTTATATAGAACCTTCTAAGTTAGAGGCCTCCAAGGGACTTTACACTACATTTGGTTATTCACCCATCCGGAGAGATATTCTCACGTGGATGGTGCTACATTGTAGCCACAGCTGCCCTAGGGCTTACTGACAGAGTAAGCAAGGCTGCTGTACACTGGTACAACCGACCTTTTAGCCACCATTGCTGCCAAGCTCGACCTGAGACACCATCTAGCTGCATGGATTATACCTAAAACTTAGTTTTGTGAAATCATGCTTAGTGTAAGCATTGTTATCAACTGATACACCTTCCTGTAGTAACATTGTACCAGCTGGCCTGATCTGTTATCTGTCATCGTGGCGATGTGGTTTTTCTTTTAGCAAGTGAAAGTGATGCATTGTGGGATTTTGTTATTTCACTAAAACAGTTTTGTGTATTTTTTTTTAACTACGTAAATCTAAATAGGTCAATTTTTACAATTCAGAATGATATCTACAAATATCAGTTATTGACCATAAGAGCAATATTTATATTGGAATAACATTAGTCCAAATAACATCCCTGTAGAACTAGTTCTAAAGATGTCATTAAAAGTTATTAGACTTTAGAAAGTTTAATGTAACATCCATCTAAAAATTAAAATGTTATGCCATACTAATGTCATGAGTTCTGATTTCTTGGTTAATGTGAAGTTGTCTTTACTAAGACATGTTAAACTTTGTTAACTTTGCATCAAATGTGTCATAATTTACTGAATCACACTTACTGACTGTAGTAGTAAATAAAGACTCCATCATGTTCATGACAGCTTTCAGTCATATTTATGATGGCGTAATGTCTGTCTTATGCACAGCCCTTCTAATAAAGTGCTTTCAGACATCCTCTCTGTTTTACAATGATTCCAGGAAAGCCTCTAAAACACTGGTTCAAATCTGGATTAGGCCAACCAGTAGCGAAACTTAAGTCAAAAATAAGTGGGTCAGTGGTTGCCATTTTTTACGTTTCACAATTACATTTGTCTAACTGGTTCTTTAAAGCTTTCACCACAGGGTGGCTGGACACAGATATAGGATTTACAGCTCAGTCATTCAGTAGAGGCTTAAAGTACTGCACTTCTCCTCTACATGGATAAGAGGCACATCAACAACTTTGTTTAAAGAAGATGAAGTTTGGCCTGTTTTTCAGTGTAGTCCTGTTTCTCTGACTCTGACTAACTGGATGTGCTCTCTTTCATCCTCTGACATGGGAGCTGGCTAGGAGCTTGTCTGCCTGGCTGTGTGTTTCTTGGACGGGTCCGCATGTGGAGATGGTTGACAGTTGCCATTTGTATCTCTGCTTCTGTCTCCTTGAACCCCCGTCGGCCTCGGCAGATAACCGCTCACACTGAGCCTGGTTCTGCTGGAGGTTTCATCCTGTTAAAGGGAGTTTTTCCTCTCCCTTTTCACTACAAGCATGCTTAGTTCTAGGGATTGCCTTTGAGTCAATGAGTTGATGCCATCAGCCTTGAGATGAGATGTTGTGAATTGGCGCTATATAAATTAACTGAATTGAATTAAGTCAGCTGAGGTGACTTGGACTTCTCTTTAAGATTCCCCTGGATACCTCTCTCGTAGGAAATTCCAGGCAGGTCCCACTGGAGGAGACTCAAGAGATGATCCATGATAAGATGGAGGGACTATTTCTCTTGGCTGGACCGTGAGCGCCTCAGGCTTCCTCCAGCAGAGCAGCAGGAAGTGTCTGTAGACCTAGAAATATGTCGAGACTGCTCCCCCAGCGACCCAGGCCCAGATGAAAGGGAAGACAACAAGTACGGGTACAAGTAATCTGGGTTTTGACTCTCCTAATCCATGTGCGTTTCCATCCGATGACATTCATAAAGCTGAAGGCTGTAAGCACAATGGTTCAAGCTTTCTTTCATACCCACTATAGCATCTGCTGTTGACCTTGGGAGAGAGAAAGTAATACGATCTACAATTTGCCCATTTACCAATCAGCCAGCCTTGACAGATTGATGAAGAGGATGTTCAGGGTTGTCATTAATCTTCATGTTTTGAAGAATTTTTCTCTGTTAAGTAATCTTTAGAGATTTTTTAAAAATTATAAAACAGAGCCAGTCCTCTTTATTAGCCTACTGAACTTTAAGTTATGCTCTAATGCTGTTAATTTAATTCAAATCAGTTTATTTATATAGCGCCAATTTACAACACATGTCATCTCAAGGCACTTTACAGTTCACCAGATTATACAGTCAGATTGATTAAAAGTTTTCTATCTAAGGAAAACCAGCTGATTGCATCAACTTATTGACTCAAAGGCTTCACATTAAGCATGCTTGTAGCGACAGTGGAGAGGAAAAACTCCCTTTTAACATGAAAAAACCTCCAGCAGAACCAGGCTCAGTGTGAGCGGTCATCTGCCGAGGCCGATTGGGGTTCAAGGAGACGGAAGCAGAGATACAAAAAGCAGCTTTAAAAGGCGGCCCCGTCCAGGAAACACACAGCCAGGCAGGCGAGCTCCGAGTCCGAGCCAACTCCCATGTCAGAGGATGAAGAGAGCACATCCAGCCAGTCAGTGTTACCTCAACAGATGATGGCAGAAGAGATTGCACTGTCCACATCAGACTTATACAAGATAAGCACTGCAGGACCTAATTTTTCCAATAGTTCCCTCTGTCCTTTCTTGTAGGCAGTTTCATGGTTTTTTCCTACAGTCCAGTCTGTTGTCCAGGTGAAGAGGGGTATTTATACCCATCTACCACTTCAATTTATTTTTATTTAGTTTATTCATATAGTGCCAGTTCACATGACATTTCATCTCAAGCCGCTTTGCTAAGACAATTAAACCAAACCATAAAGTCCATTTTTTAATCTAAGGAAAACCAGCTGACTGCATCCAGTCATTGACTTTGCAGGACTCGCTCTGCCTGGTTTAGCACATGGCAACAAAGATATTTGCTTACATTGTATTATTGACTCTTTAGCAATTCCTCACACCAGACATTCATGCAGTGAAGAAGTAAAACTTCTTTCCCCAGTGCCCTTGGGTAGAAGATACAGGTCTATACAAAGTAATATCACCAGAGACCACAGGGACACAGAGTGTACCCTTAGTGAGTTAGATGAATTTGTCCCTCCTCCCTTCCTGATCCAGGAACACTTATCATACCTCACAATTACAATATACAATAGTATGTCCACTGATTCTTGCACTCTCTCTCTGTGTGTTTATAATAATTGTGCCTGCACTGTAATTAGTCAATGCAAATTATGGTGTTTATTATGCTTATTTTATTGAAGCTGTTTATAAGATTTGGAGAAGGATCTCATTTATGACATTATTAGACTTGCATGGAATTAATGCTTGGAATAAAATTATGTTGTTTTTGTCTATAAAACAATGATTATGAAGGACCAACTGATGAATTGAACCTAATAAGTCCTAATAAGACAAAATGTATTGTGTTTTTCTTTTATAGCACTTAGTCTCTTAACATTGTAACCGTAGGTTATTTTTCCAGATTGTGTTTTTTTTTTTTTTACCTGTGGCTTCGGAAAACATTGAGTAGAATGATAACCAGTCCCAGACTGCAACAGGCCAGGTAGGAGCTTCCAAAGAGTTTGGTGAGTCCACGAGTACGATGCTCCCATCGAGCCACCTGTAGGGTAAAAGAGGATTAGAAAGTTAGTGGCCAGTTAGTTAATGAGCTTGAGTCTAAAACAAAATCTTTAATTTACAAATATATCCTGACTCAATTGAAAAAATAAACTGACATCAGTCGAGAGAAATAGGCAGGTTTGGGTTGGTATCTTTCCTGATAAGATTTTAAAGTTAGTGACTGGCCTGGATTTGTATTGCTTTATCAAGTCCATAGGGTCCATGAAGTCTTACATCTTGTCATATATTTATTCTCACATACACACATTTACACCTTGATCACGCTATACTACAGCCACAGCTGGCCTGGGTCGGACTGACAGAAGAAGGAAAGCTTCCGTACAATTTGTCTGCATTAATCTTTTTCGAACAGACAGCCTTTCTCCTATTAAAAGTGTTCTACAATTTTTTCAATCAAACAGTCCAACTATGTCCACATGTTCCATTCACTTCCTGTCATTTCACCAATCCCTCCTTTCCAAGTCAGATGCAGACATTCTTTCTATGCCAATTTCATCCAGCTGTCAAATGTGCTAAATACATACAAAGAAGCTTCACCTCCAGTTGTGTTCAGGAGTGCTAAATCGGATTACAGCTGGCCAGTATAACTGTTTATTATAATACCCTCCATCTCCATCTCTGTCTATTATATCACCAATAAAGCATAGAACATGTCTGTGCTGAGCTTAAGATCCCAGAACCGTTAACCATAGAAATAAGATACCAGAGAAGAGAGGGAAACATAGAACCACCAGTATTAGTAACAAGAACAGCTTCTAACCTGCACTGTAATATGTTGCTAAAGTGATTTACCTATGGGGAGGAAATGATGGTTCTCAATCTATTTCTTACACACACTAAGCTTCGGGTACAGTGTATCCTGGAGGTCTTACAAAAGTCTGATTAATTATAAGCAGATAATAGTTTAAGAGTGTTCTAAAAACAAGGATAACAACAAGAAGTACATGGTAGAAATTCTTGTCCTTTAAAGACAAATTCTAAAGTTTCAAGAATCAAAGTGAAATAAAAGTGAAACCTTGGCCAAGTGCCAGATTCACACTTTTTATTTGATTCTGAAATTCTTTTCAATTCATTTCATTAAAGAGTGTGTGAACAAAAAGAATTTGAAAGTTTGGAGGCCCTCAAGTGCCATTCGCATTATCCATCTATTCAGTAATATCCTGTAGACTTAACTGTCTGTTTAATAGAGCATAATAGAAAGAAGCTGCCCTGGATTCCTTTTGATAAGTAGCAGTTCTGATTTTAAGACCTTGACTTACTGAGACAATTTATCAAGTACTTTGCTTCTTTTTCACATTTTCCTGTGCATCAATATGATGTCCCTGGTAAGTGGTTTTCTAATACATGAGAATAATTGTAAGAACTATTATAATTATCCATTGAATTTCATTTTTTCACCTTTTCCATACATACAGTTAATGAAAACAACAACATCATACTTCTTAACCGTCATATCATCTGTCATAAACAACATTAAAAAGTTATGTAATCTTAATGACTTTGTAACTCTGTGATGACTTTAAATTAGACATTGGCTAATAAAAAGATAAGAAATTCTTTCATTATATAACAGAGGGAAATGGGTATGAGATTGAATAACAACAACAATCATAAAAAAAGCACAATATTGAATAGTATAAAATTAATGAAAGTTTAAAAGTTAAACCGAGTCTAAAAGCAGCTGGAAGGATCTAACAATCCAGTGCAGTGGTCAAAACTTTCTGCAAAGGCAACATAACGACCTTTAAACTTCATATAATGTTTGGAAATGTTGAAGAACAGAGAGCTTCATGATTCTGTTTCCATAAACTATATCTAGCAGTTGCTTATATAACAGCTAAAAGCATCCAGTGCGCAGGTTTAAAGCAAGCCGCAGCTGAACACCTATTGATCAACCCCTAAAATTTGCCCCAACATTGTTTTTGTTTTTTTTATTATGCCTAACTTTTTAATACCTTTATGTCTTTTATCCCTCAACTAAATATGTCTACTCACATCTACAGTAACTGCAGCTGAAATAATAACACAATGTCTGTATAGATATTCTAGTGTTCATCATGTAGCTACATTTATTACCACAGGATTAACAACAAACTTCAAATCAGATTTGTTTTTAAGTTTTCTATCTACGGAAAAGCGGACTGCATCAAGTCATTGACTTTGCAGGATATTATATATATATTTTCCCCTTGAATGAGCATCTTTGTGCCAGTAGATGACTCTACAGCAATCCTACACTGAGGAGGCATTTGGAGAGAGAGGAGAGGAAAAAGAAGAGACCTCCAGTAGAACAGGGTCATTGTCCAGAACATAGTTTTCATGCAGATGTTTACTGTCTCCTTTCTTTTAATTATAGAGGTTTTAATTAATTACTTTAAATGGTGTCTGGCTTGTAGGATTTATTTTACTGGATACTAATAATTGCACTGTTTCTAGGTAGATGAAAGAAGTTTGATGAATGCCTTTTTTTACACAAATTGACAGTTCTAGTTAGTAAAACCTCTATGACAGAAGTCAAAGATTAGTGGACCGGGGTCCAGATCCGGACCCACCTGCTGGCTAATACGGACCCAACCTGATTGAAAACACTTATAAATTATCGCATGTTGTCCAACGAAGTGGCTAATTTCATTTGCGGTACTTCTCCTGTTAATACGGTAAAGTCCTCTGGAGCATCCGGGACCAGGCTACACGTGATACAAATTAGCCAATGAGCTGCTGTCAGTTAGGGTTGCTA